GGTTGAGAAGTTAGACTGTTGACATGTTGTGGGGTTGTTAACCAATGTCATAAAACAATATGTGTACTACTGTTTCATGAGGAACTATTTGTTCTGTAAGCCTTCACCTGAAGTACAATTAAAAAAAAAAAAGTCCTCACAACTGGACCAGTAAGCAACATCATGATAAATGGAGAAAAGTTTGAAGCTGTCAAGGATTTCGTTTTACTTGGATCCACAATCAACACCCATGGAAGCAGCAGTCAAGAAATCAAAAGACACATTGCACTGGGCAAATCTGCTACAAAAGACCTCTTTAAAATGCTGAAAAGCAAAGATGTCACCTTGAAGACTAAGGTGCGCCTGACCCAAGCCACAGTGTTTTCAATTGCCTCCTATGCATGTGAAAGCTGGATGATGAATAAAGAAGACTGAACAAGAACTGACGTCTTTGAATTGTGGTGTTGGGGAAGAATGCTGAATATACCCTAGACTGCCAAAAGAACAAACAAATCTGTCTTGGAAGAAGTACAACAAGAATGCGCCTTAGAAACAAGAATGGTGAGACTACGTCTCAGTACTTTGGATATGTTGTTAGCAGGGATCAGTCCCTGGAGAAGGACATCATGCTTGGTAAAGTAGAGCATCAGCAAAAAAGAGGAAGACACAGTGGCCGCAACAATGGGCTAAAGCATAACAATGACTGTGAGGATGGCAGAGGACCAGGCAGTGTTTCCTTCTGTTGTACATAGGGTCGCTATGAGTTGGAACCGACTTGATGGCATCTAACAACAACAACCTGGTGATTCTGCTGCCTGCTAATACCTGAGAACTACTGGCTTCAAGTAATAGATGGAAAGAAGGACAGGGACTGTGAAATTTTTTTCCATTTATCCACACTAGGTTTTCTTAATTGCTGTTTAAGGGAGAGAGTGCCAAAGGGAAAATTTCACAGAAACAGATAGCTAGAAACTTGGATGTCTGCACAGAGGCAAGCAAATGTACTCAGCAAATTCTATCATCTGAGACAGATAAAGACAACACTTGTATCCACGTTAACCTATCACAGCTGCCCATTATACATACCTTAAAGGATGCTTGTGTGTCTAATTTACATCTTTACTGCCTCTAGTAACCTAGCTTCAAGGTACTCAAGAAAAACTGGCCTGAGAGTATTCAGGTGATTGGCTACAGGAAGTTTCTAGCTATCATAGCAGGGACTACAGGTCTGAGCTCAGTGATACAGGAAAAACCCCAAAGCCTTGGCAGTGAAAACAAGGTAACTGGCTGTTTCCACAGAAGTCTTGTTTTCCCAAAACAGTTAGAAATGGGCCCAAGAAGCTTTTCAGAAAATTGATTTTACCGGGTAAACTATTTCAGGTTCTGATTGCTGGCTGGGCTCCTCTGTTGGTTCTGGAAGCTTTGTTTGCTCCTCTTTAGCTCTATCCTTGAAAGAAGATTTTTTCTTTAAAGACTTACTATCTTCCTTCTCTACCTTATCCTTGCCTTTCTTTTTACCAGCTTCTTTACCCTTCTTTTCTGCTTTTTTTTCTTCCTTTAAGCGCTCCTCTTCTGCTAATCGGTCTTGTTCTTCCTTCCATGCCTGTGAAAACATTTAAAAAATACATTTACTGGGATTTTGAAATAAACTAAATATGGGTTCCATTCATGTTCTTTTTAGAGAACATTTAACCTGATTTTTATAAATATCATTTCTGACAGGTTTGAATACCGCGATAGAAACCTTGGAATCATCTTTGATTCTCCCTCCCTCTCCTCCATGTTCTATCTACTAAATCCTGTCAGTTCTCATCAGAGATCTTTCTTCACTTCACCTTCTTCTCTCACATCCTGTTACATTTGCCTTAGTTCAGGTCTTTATTATCTTTAGCCTAGACTATTGCAGTGCAGTGGTTAAGTGTTCAGCTGCGAACCAAAAGGTCGGCAGTTCGAATCCACAAGCTGCTCCTTGGAAACCATATGGGGCAGTTCTATTCTGTCCTACGGGGTCGCTATGAGTTGGAATCAGCTTGAAGGTAATGTGTTTGGTTTTTGGTTTATACTATTGTAGCAGCCTCTTAGCTGGTCTCCTTACCTCTTATCCTTCTCTAAATGAGCCTAATAATTTAGTTTCTAAAGATGGAAAGATCTGGAAAAGACAAATGTATACAGACTTAAGGTTATTAGTGGTTACCAGGGAGGGTAGCAGGGTGGGGGGAAAAAGGGATTCATTGCTTAGGAGAAGGGTGATGGAAAAAGTTAAAGGGGATAACGGTGATCGTTGTACAACATGATGAATACAATTAAAGTCATCAAATTGTGCATGTGAAGACTGTTGAAATGGAAAATGCTTTGTTACATACATATTAACGATAGTAATAATAAAAAAGAGATAGATGGTTGACCAGAAATATGGCAGACTAATGTCCAGAGAAACATTCCTGGAGGAACATATTAAAAAATGATGGATAAAACATAAAATCTATCATCATAGTATATGGCAGGGCAGGAATAAAAGTAAAGGATATGAGAAAGCACTAATTCAGTGAGGTAGATGATCACTGAAGACAGCATTTCCCTAGGGTTGTCTGTTCATCCCTGGTAGCCTAGAACTTGGATTTTAATGGATCATGCTTGAGAGACAAGAGACAAAGCCTGGGAGATGAGATTAGAGACCTCTGAATGAAGACGATAATTTTTAAAATGATACCTTCATTGGGTGAACTAGAAAAAAAGATCATGAGAATACTAGCTTGCCTGCTTGACCCTGGGTAGGAGGGAAAAGAAAAAGTTTCTTCTGAGAACTCCTAGCCACAAGCCTGCCCTTATATAGATTTATGGCCAAAATGCACATTACCTTAAATTTTTATTTTGAAGAGATCCTGAATTGGTAGTGCTTCTATGTGCCCAAAAGAAGAAAAATCAATTAATTTCTATAGAAGTACAATGTAAATCCTCAAGCAATTGCCAAAGTTACAATTAACATGAGCTCACAATAAAAATTACAAAACATGAGGAAATAAACCATCTTGAGCAAGCACCTAAAGAAATAAACTGTGGAGTTATACCTGCAAAGACCGCAGATCTTGGAATTAACAGAGAGAGGATATAAAATAACTATTTTTAATAAGCTTAAATAAAAAGAGTTATCAAAAGTATAAGAAATAAGACAGTATCAAAAATGACAAGGGTGTGTTTGAAGGAACTCTTAAAAATGAAATACAACTTTTGAAAAGGCAGTGTATGAATAGATAATGGCTGTGAAATTTCCAGAGTTGATAAAACACACCAATCCTAACATTCAGGAAGACCAATGAATCAAAAGCAGGAAATAACAGTGGTGTGCTAGACCCAGCTCACACTGATCTTCAAGATTTTATTGTTATAGTCTCAGGAATTTTGTGATCCAGTTGTTAATTACAGCCATTATAAAAATTCAATTATATAAATGTACAGTTAAATGAAATATTAAAAGCAAAGGTAATGAATATTCAAAACTCACTACTGCCTAATTATTTTACTACATTTCACTATTACTTATGCTCTTGAGACTACTTATGTCAGTTGTATCTCTATGGTGGAAATACTACATAATGGTGTGCTACTGCACACAAAGCTCCATATTCACTGACCTTACGCTGGTAGCTTGAAAATCAATCATGGTGGGAGTATTTACACTACAGAAATCAACAAATGCTACAAATCAGGGCTTGACTGGCTATTTTGTTGATTTTCTAGACTTGAGAAAATGTTGATAATGCAGACTAAATTTAAAAATGTGTCATGTCTATAGCTGCTACATTGTGACTAGCATAAAAATTTGAGGAAATATTCTTCCAGTATTCAAAAACTATTATCTGCTTCAGCAAAGAAGTCATTCACATTATAGATGAATGAGTGAGACACGTCTTTGTTGTTTTCACCTTTGTTGTTTCACTTTTGTCTTCTTAACATAAATGACAATATCAGTATTCATACTGGAACTACACTCATTTGCAATTATAACTATAGACTGAGCATACAAGAAGTTGGCAAAAATCTACGAGAGCACATTGTGAGAATCAATTGGCTATATGGAATTTGCAATAAGGAGTATTTTATATTTTATTAGTACTTGTAAATTATGTGCTAAACATACTTTATATCAACAAAATTTACAAACTTAACGTGTATATATAGACATTCACACTTTTTTTCTAGAGAGCCATTGCTGAGCATTTACTAGCATACTACTGAATATATTCAAAGCAGCTAGAGAGAAAAGATAGGGTGTTTAGCAATGGCAAGTTAGACTGACAATTTATTAATGGCTACAGTGTCAGCTAGGAAAAAGGGGAAAATAACTTTACAGTGCTCAGAGGAAATTTAAAAAGTCAACCAAGAATTTTATAAATGAAAACTATGTTTCATAAATGAGAGTAGAATAATGCCACTTTTTTGCAGATAAATGAAAAACTGGGTTAAATTAAACCGAGTTTAATTCTTGGGTGGCACAAATGGTTAACCACTGGACTACTAACCAAAAGGTTGGCGGTTCAAACTCACCCATAGATGCCTCAGAAGACAGGCCTAATGATCTGTTCCCACAAGGCCACAGCCTTGAAAACCCTACAGAGCAATCCTGCCCTGCCATGAGTTGGAGGGCAACTAACAAAAACAACACAACAAATCCCCACTAAAGGAACTTGTAGAGGAAATACTCCCAGAATATAAAATGTGAGAAGGAATGCTCAACAAAGCAAACGGTAAACATGGGACTAAATCTAAACAACATTAACTATGTAAAATGATGATAATAATAATGTTTAACTTGTGGGAACAAGAAAAAAACAAACAAGATAAAAGTTACACATTAGGCAACAGGATAAGTTTGGAGAAGGGGAGTAAATTTTAAATAATTTCAATAGGACCTTGTATTGCTCTGGAGGAAAGTGAAGATATTTGCTTAGTTTTATGTAGGTACTTATACATAAGAGGAGGCCTGGTGGTGTAGTGGTTTAGAGTGGTTAAGAGCTCAGCTGGTAACCAAAAGCTCACCACTTTGAATCCACCAGCTGCTCCTTGGAAACCCTATGAAATCAACTCAATGGAACAGGTTTTGTTTTATACAATAAGAAGGAAAACAAATTTCTGCAATTTTTTATTAACTAATAATTGAGTACATTTTTTTGAACCATTTTGGGGGGAGAGATAACATTTCACTTAATTGAGGTCCGAAGTTAATGTCCCCATCATCAAATTGATTGCAAATGAAAGGAAAAAAAAAATAAACTCAATATAAAACAAAGCAAGAAAGGAAGAAAAAAGGATCATAGAAAGAGGAAGAAAATAGACAATACAAAATAGACTGGTTGAAGAAATTCCAAATACATCATTAATCAGCATAGACATAAATGGATTCAACTTTCCTGTTAAAAGACAGAGATTATCAGACTATATTTTTAAAAATTTTTAAAATCTAGGTTTTTTTAAATCTATGGACTACATTTTAAAAATATCTAGTTTACAAAAGGCACACAACACGTAAGGGCAACATATAAGGAAGGAATTTGCCATTCAAATACTATCTGAAAGAGAGCTAATGAAATTATAGTAATATCAGATAAAATAGATTTTAAGAAAAATTACTAATAAAGCTTCAAAATATTAAACAAATGAAAACTGAAAAAATGCTTTCAAATCTAATTTCACTATGAGAGATTTAACACACCTCTACCAATAACTAATAAATTTAAAAGACAAAAATCATCAAGGAAACAGACTAATTGAACAACACAATTAACAAGCTTTGTCTACTAGACATAGATACAACACAGCATCTAATAATTGAGAATTCATGTGTTTTTTTCCAAGCATACATGTAACCTTTAGATAAATGACTACATAAACCCATTCCTGTTGAGTCGATTCCGACTCTTAGTGACCCTATAGGACAGAGTAGAACTGCCCAGAGAGTTTCTCCCGCAGAGTGGCTGGTGGGTTTGAAGCGCTGACATTTTGGTTAGCAGTTGAACACTTAACCATTGAGCTACCAAAACCCATTGCCACTGAGTCATTTCTGGCTCATAGCAACCCTACAGGACAGGGTAGAACTGCCCTATAGGGTTTCCAAGGAGTGGCTGGTTGATTCTAACTGCCGACCTTTTGGTTAGCTGCCAAACACTTAACCACTACGCCACCAGGGCCCCCCTGAGCCACCAGGGCTTCTTTAAATGACTACACACTAAGTCAAAAAGCAAGTGTCAACAAATGTCAAAGAGTCAAAACAGTCCTGTTTTCTCACACAGAGAAATTAGCATAGAAACCAATAATAAAAAGCTAACAACTTCCCTTTCTCATATTATTGGGTATATAAAAAGCCCACTTCTAAATACCTTATAGCTTGAAAAATAAACAAAAGTGGATATTATAAAATACTTAGAACTGAATGATAATAAAAATGCTTCACATAAAAACTTCAGGAATGCAACTTCAGCCACACTCAGAAGGACATTTACAGCATTAAATTTTCATATTATTACAAGACTGGCTGAAAACTAATAAGGTGTAGAGCAGAAACGAATGAAATGAAATGTAAAGTTATAATAGAAGGGATAAGCACAG